CCAACGTTTCGATCTTTTTTGAGATCATCTTCAGTTTTTTTCTTCTCATTGTTGGCGATGTCCTTCAGAATACTTTTTGCTTCATAGAATCCTATGTTCTTTGTTCTTCTAGTGTAGAAATGTGTCTGAAGATGATCTCAATGAAGACCGAAACGTTGTCACGAAAAGAAAATGTTTTTCTAAAACCTACGTCACACCAGACCGCATCTCACGATTTCCGAATAATCATCGACTAACGGTCACTAATCACCACACATCTTCTGCAAAAGTTTCTAAAAATAAAAGCATACTTTACAAATAAATAGACTAGGTCCCATTTTTCCCTATTTAATATTTTTCGCAAGAACCTCGATATTTAGTTGATTTCGTTTAAAATATCTATTCATAAACTAAACATGAAAGAAATGGACTTACCTTTTCACTAGCACAAAAGTTTTATACTTTAGATTTTCGTTAATTTAAACTAATTGACATTTCATTTTATATTCTGTCAAAAATAATAAAAAAACAATAATTTCTACCCAAATTCAACAATGTTCACCAATGATTAATTTCAAATTAACAAGGTTTCTTTGTTTCCCAATTGCTAGAATCTGAATATTCTTTCAAATCAGGTGGATCGAAACGGTCTTGATCATCATATTCTCATTTATCAAAATCCTGTCAAAGACCTCTTTATGTAGATTTTCCGGAAAAGGAAACCAAGAAAGGCAGGATTGATCGTGTCGGAGTCGGTCTCTTTGTCGGCCCCCTTTGATAGTATTAGGATACGAATTTTGAAACCTTTTGAATATAGGCTTGGTTAATAAGTTCGACGGTACTTTTATTCTAATCGCCAACTTCATTTTACAGTGAGAAGCCTCTCGAAATGGGTTTATACGTGAGCGGAACGCTGATTACGCCCAAAAGAAATACCTCTGAATAATAAACCGGAACATAGACGTAACGATCACTCTATTAATTAATAATCATTGTAAGTTTATTTTAGCTAATTATTTTATGATATTTCAATAAATTACATATGACAAAAATTAAAACGATTATTAAATTTGTGTGGTGATTAGTGACAGTTAGTCGATAATTATTCAGATATCGAGAGATGCGGTCTGCTGTGATGTAGGTTTCAGAAAAACATTTTCTTTATCGTGTCAACGTTTCGATCTTTATTGAGATCCTGAAGATGATCTCAATAAAGATCGAAACGTTGGCACGATAAGGAAAATGTTTTTCTGAAACCTACATCACACCAGACCACATCTCACGATATCTGAATAATTACTTATTAAATTTGTCATATTTGGAAATGTAACATCTATTTGATGTCTTAAATATAAAAAATAGACACAAGAACGACACAATTACACAGAAAACAAACACTTTCAGTGAGTACAAATACTTTGATTGAATATACAGGGTGAATTGCTACTCGTGCTACAAACTTCTCCAGTAGATTCTTCACCCTAAAATGAACAAAAAAGTTCATATTGTCCATGGTCCGATTCTCANGGTTGAGAATCGGACCATGGACAATATGAACTTTTTTGTTCATTTTAGGGTGAAGAATCTACTGGAGAAGTTTGTAGCACGAGTAGCAATTCACCCTATATTAAAAAAATTGGATTATATAAATTCATTTTGTTCCACATCCTACAAGTATTTGTTAAATTTAAACAATGTTTGTAAATCCCAGACCCTGAAGATGATCTCAATAAAGATGGAAACGTGGCACGATAAAGAAAATGTTTTTCTAAAACCTACGTCACACCAGACCGCATCTCACGATCTCTGAATAATCATAATAAATAGTTTATTAAAATCTTTCCTTCTTGATTTCTAAACTTGTTAAAATAAAAAGACGAAGTTTGATGGAAAAAACTTGACATTTCCCTTTTATTTCACATTACAAAATGTGTGTTGGTGTGCGTGTATAAATTGCTAATTACATTAGTAGTATTACAAAAATAAAATGTTATAAAGATGAAAAATTTAATTATATGTTTCGAACAATGTATGCTTTCATTTAATTAAAAATCGTTAATTAAACTTTAATTTTTCATAAAAGCCAACTTCTCTCCGGTTGGTGATGTCATACTCTAAAATGTATTAACAGTGATTATTTAAGTGATTTTTAGCCCGTTAACCAAACGTAAACCAAAAAACCTTTGAATAGAAAAATTTGAGCGAAATTATGGTAAAATAAATCATATGCGTTTACTGGCAGAACTGATCTCCTTACACAAAAACATACGATTTAACATAAATATAAAAAACAATATACGAATAGGAATATACAAATTCCTAGACTAAGCTATCACTAAAACGGATACTAAAATTTGTTATATACAGACCTAAAACAACATTCAAATTGACTAAAACTAAACTAACTACCCCCTCCCCGATTACATACAGTTCAAAATAGAATTTTTAAAACAATGGATCAACAAAATAATAAACAAATCGTGCACAGAAAGCACGACACGAAATGAACCCTGTTCTCATACGTAAGGAAAGAAACGTATAAATTAAAAAAATCTATTCAATAATTAGGAACTAAAGCAACCCTAAAAGGATAAAAACAATCGGAAAGTAGTACAATATTCAATCACTTTATAAATATATGCCATAACATGCGAATACTGTGATAAACAGATCGAACGACACGGTTAATGACATGAAATGATAGACACAATGAAAGCACATATAAGATGGCTTAGAGACAATGGCGGAAAATCAAACATCACACAAAACCATCTCGAACAATCGACAATACAGACGAGCAAGAAACACGACATACATAACCAACACCAAAATCGAACTTGAACCTCTGGAAATATAACACAGATATTTTTTAGATGAACATTTCTATATTTTAATATGATTTTTTTAAATAAAAATGTATAGTAAACGATCAAGTTCGTAAAAAGTGGAATTCGATTTAGTTTTATTTGTTTCTTTACGTGCGTCATGTCTTTATTGCTCTACTTAGAGATTTTCAGAAAGTTTGCCATAAAAATCGTGTTGTTAATTTCAGTCCTTCTGTTATAAAAAATAATAGGAGAAGTTACGAAGTTGATACTTTCTGGAAGTTTGATTTGAAGCCAAGCTTTATTGAAATTTACTTTTGCAGGAATATTGAACATTAGTTCATCTCATGCTTAGTTTTACCTCTCTACATTTCAATTAAGTAATTATTGAAAAATATTGCTAAATACACGGTATTTACTTGGCATAATTCTTAAATTTCCAGATACATTTAAAAAAAGTAATGTGGGTATTTCGAGTCGAAACGTTTTCTTACCAGTTTATATCCACCATTCCTCGCATTTTTGGCTATATTCTCATACTTTAACTTAATTTGTTTAAATATAGATCTAGTGAAGTAGTAAGTACCATGTCAATTGTAATGTATTTCTTTTTATTTCAATTAAGTCACATTGTTATTCCTTATTTATTTGACCAAACCTAATAATTTTTTTTTAGAATAATGAACAATGGTTATATTTATGTATATATCAAATATAATTATAATCACTGCTCTTAGATAATTTTATGAAACAGTATCACATCTTTAATAAAACCTTAAATAAAAGTTAAGGTATTTGATAATACCTAAACTGCGTGGAGACCATTTTAAAGATTCTATCTCACTATAACAGGATTAATCATTATTTTGGTCGATCGATCAGTCACTTTTCATTATTTTGCCATGTAGATTGTGAAAATATACGCAAAAGAACAATTCACACGAAAGACCGAAATAATGAGAAAACAGATTTCATCCACCAAAAACATCCACACAGCCATCTCACTCATTACGATCTTATAAAAAAGACGTGGCTTCACAGAAATTACAAAGACACCTGAAAATGGCGATAAGACCAACGTGTCAGACCAACCCAGTGAGGGTAAACAAGCCAAAATGGTTTATCAAATGAATAAACTATTGAACGTTTGGTACCTAATTTAATGAATTGTGTTATAAATTAGCAAAATGTAAAAAAAATGTGTATTAAAGCACCTTACGTAACGAGCATGACATATTTTCTCTCCTGGGGATAAATTACAATGTTTTCTATTCCAGATCTTCTCGAGGATGGATTGATTTGACAAAAATTTTCACTGAAAACTATTCCACATAACAAGTGATTATTCGGAGATTGTGAGATGCGGTCTGGTGTGACGTAGGCTTTAGAAAAACATTTTCTCTATCGTGCCAACGTTTCGAACTTTATTGAGATCATCTTCTGGGTCTGGGATTTGTAAACATTGTTTAAATTTTACAAATACATGTAGGATGTGAAAAAAATGAATTTATACAATTGTAAATTTTTTTTCTTTAATCTAAAATTTACCAGCATTGTATGAATTCATTTTTTTCACATCCTACATGTATTTGTAAAATTTAAACAATGTTTACAAATCCCAGGCCCTGAAGTTTATCGTGTTCGGAGTGGCCCTATTGTTCGTTTCCAACATCCTACCCGCCAATCCTCGGTTTTTTTTACATTTCAATTAAATAAACTAATAAAATATTTTAGTTTACCTATGATTTTTGCTTTAAAAAACAGCAAATTTTGTACAGTGTTGAATTCAATGCTCTACTAAGATTTGTTAGATTTGTATGATAATCTAAAGATTATTTACACTCCTTTTTAAGGTTTTTATATTACGGCATAAAAACAACACTGCTTGAAAAAGTGATGTGGGAATAAAGAAATAATAACCACGAAAAACGTAAACAACATAATATATTTTCACATAAAAAATCCATGAAAATTTTTTATAGTGATGTACATATTTACCCATATATATTAATATTTTATTTACATTATTTGTACATAAAAAGCTTCTTTAAAAAACACGATGCGTGTTGTAATGTATATAAGAGATCACATTAATAATAAATTTATTTGAGGATTTATATAAACTCAAATCCATAGAAGAAAATTTTTACTTTTTTGTGTTATTATTTATTATATTTCCTAACCGAAAACAATAAAATTAATAAATATTTTGATGAAATTGTCTTTCTGATTTGTCTCCTCTGTGGAATGTGACAAATAATAAGATAAACAAATAGATGTAATAAAACAACCTATTGAAGGTAAATGACACTACCAATATTAATCTACATATACATAAAAATATACAGAAAAGACTTTTTTGTTTAGTTTTTAAAAAAATGTATCATATTATCGATTGCCCCTCTTAACAATTTTGGGCTTATTGTAAGAAGGGATTATGTTTAACCGTTAATATTTTACAACCCTGTGATATCCTTTCAAAATCAGGTAATCTCCATTTGTTTATCCCCTCATTAAATTCGACCATCAAATCATTTTTTATCTCATGGGACCGTCGAAACCGTTAACCTTGTTTCATTCTGGAAGTATATCTCCTCTTTTTCCCACGACTTTCACCCCGGGGTAGAACAATTCCCTCCTTTTTCCTGCGGCTCGTAATCAGGGATGTCGCGTGACCATACCACGTATGAGCAGACTGGTTGTGAAGAAGTATTCAAATACAAATTTGATTGATCTGTGAATTCTTGCTGAGGGCTTTGTGAGGCGGTTTGGGGTAGAACCGCGGGGTGGTTGAACCTCTAAATACTCCAAATTTTTTCACGGAATACCATCTACAGGTTTTCCGCTGAATTCTTCAATACCAACCTTATTTAATACAGTAAATAACTTACTGATCCGGCCCAGATGTAACGCTGAAACAGGATGTTTCCTCCAGATGGCACAAAATATTTGCCACTTGCCGTAAGTCGAAGTTTTTAGTTAACATACTGAAGGCTTACAGCTAAGTGTTTATTAAGTTCGGTTCTTGTTAGCATTGTGGGATTTTCAGCTCATCACGGTTGTTCCTTCTACATATAATTCCCCTCTCGCAAATTCTTATTTATATATTTTATTCCGTCCAACGTCCGCCACTGAGCTTAATTCTAATATTTTATCATAATATTTGAGGTCCTCTTTTAATGCGACGATTCTACCCTATTCTCATTTCTCCTTCACAAATAATCTCTTAAAATAAGTTACAAATAACTTTTCCGAATTATTAAGGGAGAGGTATTATCGTTTCACCTCTTGTGCGTTTTGCCAACCCTTAAGAGTTATTTGATATATTTATTTTATTCTCTTCCTATTAAAAATCCACAATTTAATGTGCATGACAAACATTTTTCAACTTCATGACCTTAACAAATTGTTTTTTCATTAAAACCTTAACGTTGTGAAGGATTCTTCTAATTTAACTTTAACGAAATGAATTAGTTTTTAACCTTCTTTCATTATCGGAATGGCCTGGCGTTGTAAAAATGTCTTTCTATCAGCCTGCTTGTGAGCTACACTTCAAACTGTAGATCTGAAAATTTTTCAAAAAAACGTCTTGCCATTCCTTTATCTACGCGTGTACCCTACTGTTTTTGAAAAATTGCGAAATTTTTCCCATATTGGTCTACAATGGAAGGTTTCGCGTACGTTTTCATACAGCCTGTCGCTTCGACGTATCTTTTAACTTCTTCATCTTCATAGATTATTTGCACGTTCCGGGATAGATAGACAATTTTTTTATTGCAAAACTTGCAAAAATGTGTCTTCCTATTCTTAGATCCTGAAAAAAATTATTTATACAAGGTTTAAGTAATAAATTATAAGTAACACAATAATATATAAAACCAAAAATATAAATATTATTAATCCATACGTGTTTAGCAATCATAATTGACCATATTAATAATTTCAATTAATTATCATATTTTATGAAATTTGTATTTCATTTTTGTATGGCATTTCAGTAAATTATATATGTCAAAAATTAAAAACCTTATTAAATTTGTGTAGTATTTACTTATCGTTAATTAATGATTATTGGGAGATCGTGAGATGCGGTCTTGTGTGAAGGTTTTAGAAAAACATTTTCTTTATTGTGCCAACGTTTCGATCTTCATTGAAATCATCTTCAGAGCTCCGAGTGTAGATTGTGAAAGTTGTGTGTCGTGTTGCGAGTGTGCATCACCTACATCATACAAGACTGCATCTCACGATCTCCAAACAATCAGCTCAAAGCAAAAATATCTCAAAGCGGAAAAAAATAATAAAAGTCGTTAAAATTAAAAATAGGAAAAATGGTTATGTAAAAACTTAGAAAAAGATAAAAAACAGAATATTAAGCAAATAGGCTAACTGATAGATTGGAACATTTTTTTAAGAAAATGGGGAATAGAATATATTTTAAACGGATTCTTCACAATAATTTCCAAAATTTTAATGAAGTATTCCAGTTCTATCTGTACGAAAACAAATTGTATGCAAGATGCAAGTCAACATATTTTCTTTCTAAACGTTCGTCTAGAAATCGATAAGTCCCTTCTTACAAAAGGGCACTGGTTATTTACAAAAAAGCACATATACACCAGTGATCCACCGCAGTGGAAATACATCAATTTATGATCAAAGATCCAAGATATCAATTTAATGATTAAAGATCACGTTAGAAAACTACTTTTGTTCCCAGGAGGGCGATTTGTATTGGCAATTTGAAAACTGCGATTATGTTGTACCTCGAAACCGAAAGTGGTATCGACGCCAAATTCAATTGCTGGTGGAAAATAATGACATTCTTTTTATATTAATTATTAAATTAATCCATATTTGTTTAGTGGCCATAATTTACCGTATTAATTATTCCAATTAATTTTTTATATTAATTATTAATTAACTGTTTTTATGCACAAGGACTTTTGTAAAAAAAAACCTAATACTGTTGTTTTCTACTCTCGATCATATGCTTCCTTCAGAAAAAAAAAAAAGAGGGGTAGATTCACCCTGTATAAATCAAATAAAAATTACTTACTGCGATGTTTTACCTTCGGTATTAATTCAAGTGACTCCATGCTTGGAAGCAGTAAAAGTGAAGCCCGCTCGTAAGGTTGGTCTTCTATGACATCTATTTATATAAGAAATAATTATAGTAAATCTTATTGATACTGATAGATTTGAAAAATGTTTAAAAAAAATTGTAATTTTTCTTTAATAATGTGAATATTTGTTTAAATACCATAAATATACATTAGTAAATCAATATTTAATTTGTATTTACATTTAAATATACAGCAAAAAATCATATCATTTCTAACTAACCAGAGGTAGAAGATTGAAGTAGTCGACGTGCCAAAGATTTAGTTCTGCTCTTATCGGATTTCTCAAGAGATGAGCCAGGTTTAAGAGTTGGTTCAAGGTTGTCTATAATAAATCAAATCTGTATTATTTTTAGGATCTTAAAAACTACATGTCATGTTCATTTAAAAATTTGATTATTTCAGAAGCAAGAAACAAAAAATGGAGCTAATAATAGATTTTTTTATATGATTTATAGAAGTCTGTGGAGTTATTAGATATACATTTATATAAATAAAAATAAAATATTTACCACTGGATATCTGAATGTTAACGTTTGTTTCAACGCCCTCAATTAATACAGCCCTTGGTATTGACAGTTGTTTAAGACGATGATGCCTGTGCTTGATCCGAAAAATAAAAAACACAAATCTCACTCTGTTCCGAACTACTTTACATATTTTAGGAGATCCAATATTTACCAACTGTGGGTGCATCTCTCCCAACAAAACCATCACTGCATTTTTCCCTCAAATATTTTTAAAATGGAAATTCGATTTTCCAATTTACATTTCGTTTCTGAAATATGGGTTTATTTATCAGAAAGAATTTTAAGGTTTGAATCAATTTTACTTACTGCTTTTCATAATCAGAAAACCATGGCAGCTTTTCCCCTTATGAGAAAAAATGTACAAATCTTCCTCTTTGCAATTCTCCTTTTTGATTTTCGTTAATTCATTTTCGCACTTTATGCAAAATTCGTCCACAGTTATTTTTATTAGCGATAAATTTTCACTGAAATTTTTATATGTGTAAATATTATGGTAACATATTAATATTTGTGGCAGAAACTATAATCTTTTGCGCCATGCTTACGAAACCAACAAGAAAACAAGTAAAAAGGTTGGCAATACCAAAGTAACAGTACCAAATTAGTTATTCCGCACAAGTTGACTGACCTGACAACGCCAAATCCTCCGAAGTCTTTCCTTGCATATTTATAACAATTAAACAACAAGTTGGCACAAAAGTTCACTGCTTAGAAAAAGCGTTCGTTTATAGTTTGTAGACAAAACAAGCAACAAGCGTTTGCGGTGGTTACTAAGAGCACTCTGAAGTCTGACTTTCATTTTCTTTTATAGGCTACCACGCCAAGGTATGCAAAGGAAGGGGTAGGGTTTATCCCCACGCACAAAATTTAAATTCCCACCACTCTCAAAACTATTCTCCGACAAATATTTCCTAAATGGTATACGATCTTGTAACGAGGGATAATTTTAAGTAATTGTTAATGAAGTAGTACTAGAAAATGTCGATATCATCAATAAATAATATCATCTTAAGCAAAGGAGATAATAAAGAAATAATACACGCCTTGTACAGATTTATTTCATCAAACCAATTAGATATTTAAAACTTATCTCACTATAGAGAATCTGTGTACGAATAAAACTTCTTTTAATTCCAGCACGTATCCTCACAACAATTAACAAATATACACACATCAACAAATTCCCAGTTCATTAGCTGGTTTTATAACTTATAAATTAATGTGTGGTGATTAGTAACCGTTAATCGATAATTGTTCAGAAATCGTGAAATGCGGTCTGGTGTGATGTAGGTTTCAGAAAAACATTTTCTTTATCGTGCCAACGTTTCGATCTTTATTGAGATCATCTTCAGAGCCTGGGATTTACAAACATTGTTTACATTTAACAAATACATGTAGAGTGTGGAAAAAAGTGAATTTATACAATGCAAAATATATTTTTATATCCAACCAACGTATTTCTACTCACTCATAATGTTGTCTTCAATCGTGCCATTCTTGCGTGTCGTGTTGAGAGTGCCAGTGAGATATTGCTGTATATACGAACTATTACCAACTTTTTTTCCCGTCGTCGGCTCTTTTCACCTCAAAGAAGCCGACGCCTTATACAAAAATGTTTTTTCTATACCGACTTCCTTCCCCACCCCTTCAAAATCCAACGTCCAATTTCTATATAAATCTCACTGGCATTCTCAACACGACACGCAAGAATGGCACAATTACACAGAAGACAAACACTTTGAGTGAGTAAAAATACTTTGATTGAATATGATAAAAAAAAATATATTTTGCATTGTATAAATTCACTTTTTCACATCCTAAATGTATTTATTAAATGTAAACAATGTTTGTAAATCCCTGGCCCTGAAGATGATCTCAATAAAGATCGAAACGTTGTCACTGACTTTTTTATCTCAACCACTACATTACATAAAAATTAATTACATAGTTTAATACACATTTTACATTAATCCATATTTGTTTAGTGGTCATGATGAACATATTAGTTATTCTTTTATCTAAAATTTTTGGTTGAAATTAAAAATTCATGTCACGAGCGGTATTCGAACCTTCGAGCCAAACCCACACTAATTTTTCATTTCAACCAAAAACCATAGATAAAAGAACAATTAATGGGAATATTTTAAATTCATGATTTTGTTATTATTTTTTATTATAGATATTTCTAAATTTATGTAAGCTATAAGCTCTATACTTTTCCTTATATGTTTAGCGGTCATAATTGTCGTATTTAATTATTTCAATTAGTTATACTTTTTATATCAACCAAACATTCATATATTTATTCTAAGCATTTTTAATTGGAAAACCGTAAAATAAATAAATGTGAGAGTTCATAGTTTTAGTACGCTATGTTGTCGAAAAGGTTAATTAGTTCATTAAATTCACTAATTTAGTGGTCCGCTTGACCAATTAATATATTATGATTAATTAAGGTTTTTAGTAGAGATAAAAAAGTCAATGGCACGAGCGGGATTCGAGCCCACGATCTTCGGCTAGATACGGCGCTGCTCTACCACTTGAGCTATCGTGACCTCGATCCACTCGGACACCAACTTTCCATCTCAACCCCTCCTTTTGAGTTTTCCCTCGTTTTTGCCATTTTTCAAGTTAAATAAAGTTAATTAGTTCATAACTGTAAAACCATGACCTCCTGAAAAGTTGGCTTACTGAGCCAGATTAAGACTTCCTATTGTTAGGCCAAATTCACAAAATCCATTTGTTTAAAATACTTGATATTCATCTTATCAATTCGTCTGTGGTTTTTCTGTTTATCTTGGGGGAGAACCCTGTTCCATTTGATGTTTGATTAATTTCTTCTTTTTATCGACTTAACCCTTCTACTATTACCAACGTTTTTTTCCCGTCGTCGGCACTTTTCACCTCAAAGAGGCCGACGCCTTATACAAAAATGTCTTTTCTATACCGACTCCCTTCCCCACCCCTTCAACATCCAACATATATAAACATAAAACAGCAAAATCTCACTGCCACTCTCAACACGACACGCAAGAATGACACAATTACACAGAAGACAAACACTTTGAGTGAGTAGAAATACTTTGATTGAATATAAAAAATATATTTTGCATTGTATAAATTCACTTTTTTCCACACTCTACATGTATTTGTTAAATGTAAACAATTCCAATTAATTAAGGTTTTCAGTTCAGATAAAAAAGTCAATGGCACGAGCGGGATTCGAACTCACGATTTTCGGCTTTATACGCCGCTGCTCTACCACTTGAGCTATCGTGACCTTCATCCACTCGGACATCAACCTCCCATCTCAACCACCGCTCGTGCCATTGACTTGACAGCGGTCTGGTGTGATAAAATGTTAAAAAGTAAACAATGTTTGTAAATCCCAGGCCATGAAGATGATCTCAACAAAGATCGAAACGTTGGCACGATAAAGAAAATGTTTTTCTGAAACCTACATCACACCAGACTGCATTTCACGATTTCTGAATAATTATAAAATAATTATACAGTCTATATCCAATATACCCAACATGGCTATTGTTATTTTTGATACGTTCTTATTAATTTTGTATTTTTTTTAAATATTATAAATAAAAGTATCTATCGGGGTGTTCGGGTGTTACTCGTGTTACAAACTATGCCAGTAGATTCTACATTCAAAATGGAACCAAAAAGTCCTCATTAACTATGGATCGAATGTCTACAGTTTAGGAGTTATTCCACTTAATCTGATTTTTGAAGATTTTACGATCTTGCTTCAAATAAACAATGATAACTCCGAAACAAAAAGGTTTTGGACAAATCCGTTGATACCATTGTAAGCTACGTTAAATTTCCAATAATGTTTAATCAATACTAAACTAGTAAACGATCTCGAAATAAGCGTTTTAGCAGCGAGGTAAAAAAAATTTCATAGTTGAAAAACATTCTATGGTGATTTTACACTACTATTTCCAAACCTTGGGACCAGCAAATTTCAGCAAACGTACTTCATTTAATATCTTTTTTAGTGTGCAATTGCTGTTCTAATTATTTTGTCCAAAGATGAAGAAATTGATGAAAAAAAGGAAAAACGTGCTTGAAAGATTGGTAAGATGGAAGATTAATAATAATAAAAATTTTTAAAAATTAAGGAAATTTTAAATGAATTTATTAAACGGTTTTTTCATTTTGATTCGAAATGCTTTCCACCCTCCGTAATGTATTTTCGACGCGCTGCCTTCACATTAAACCCGTACACAGCGTATTCTTCATTAGAAAAAGTAGCTATAGTTTTAACAAAATATTACATAGATAACTAAGAATGTTTTAAAACTTTTTTATACCGGAGAATAATAGTGCAATAATCCTTTAATCAAAGTTGCAGTCACTTTAGTAATAAGTAAACACTTGCACTACTTCGGTTTTGAACCCAAATTTAAAAAAGTTTAATAAATTCATTAAAAATTTCCTCAAGTTTTTTTTTAATTTTCCTCCTTGAAAATCCATCAGCCTCTGTTTATTCCTTTTCTCGATCAATTTCTTCATTTTTGAAAAAAAGTAATTAAAAAAGAAATTACACCACTAAAGAGGATATTAAATGAAGTACGTCTACTGAAATTTGCTGATCTCTAGGCTTGGAAAAAAAATTTAGAATCACCATAGTAATTTTTTCAATTTTGAAAAAAAATTTTAATAATTGGATATTTAACGTATTTTTCAGTGGTATCAACGGATTTGTCCAAAACCTTTTAGTTTATTTGAAACAAGGTCGTGAAATCTTAAAAAATCTGATGAAGAGGAATAACTCCGAAACTGTAGACATTCGGTCCATAGTTAATTAGAATTTTTTGGCTCTATTTTGAGTGTAGAATCTACTGGTATAGTTTGTAAAACGAGTAGCAGAACACCCTGAAAAGCGGTTGTTCAAAACTCAAAAAATCTTTTTGACTTGCTTCCATTCAGTTCGGTTGAAAATAACAGAAAAACGTCAAAAGTAAAGACGAAAATCAAACGAGCCATTTAGGAGATATACAGATGACTGTGCCAAATTTATCGGGGTTTATAACGAGAAGGATTTGGGTAAATTTTTACAAGTAAACACTGAAGCTTAACTCAAAATGTACCGACAACAGAATTAACTGGTATTTCATACCTGTGATGTCACCCCATTTTCAAGGGTTCCTAAAGCATTCTAAAAACGTTGGAACGAAGACTATGAAATCCTAACAAAAATAAATAAAGAAAACTTGAATTATTGGGTTGTCCGGAAAATAATGCAGGATTTTGGTATTAAACAAAAAAAAAAGAAACTAGTTACTTTAAAGCAATGTTCTTTAATCAAAATAATTTCCCATACTCTCAATANTCTCAATAAAGATCGAAACGTTGGCACGATAAAGAAAATGTTTTTCTGAAACCTACATCACACCAGACCGCATCTCACGATTTCTGAATAATTATCGATTAACGGTCATTA